TCTTATAAACGACATATAGTTTCAGTTATAATATGGATAAATTTGCCCTAAAATGAATATCGTTCGGTTAAATAGCATTTAGGTATAAATATAATTGCACTTTTGTGATTAGCACTCGGTCATTTACCTGCAAAATAAAAATGCAAATACGCAACTTTTTCAGGGTGGCAGCACGGTCGCGGGTGTCATGGCGCCGTTCAAATTTCGTAGCGTTGATGTGTAAATAATTAATTAAGTATCTGGTGACAAATACATGTGGGTATAGACGATTTGTTATACAGTAAGTACAGTTGTATGCAGTAAAATCCTAGAGGCTACTGTCCCTTTAAGACTGAAACACAAAGCATGTGTGGCAAACATGAGAACAGACTTAAAATAACTATTATGGCTCACACACAAAAAATTGACCTACCTACCTATACCTACTAAAAAAATCATGGGTCGGGGGACAGCAAACATAGAATTTTTTTAAGGATGGCCTGAGCTTCATATTGTAATTGTTGCCTACTTGCTGATTAAAAACACGGTGCTGCTAAGTATTGGCAACTAACCTATCCACCTGAACGACAAGCCGCCCTTCGACACTGTTACTGGGTTAGTCAATGCATGCATGCCAATTGTCAACATCGCTACACTTCGTTACCAAGTCCCGTTTTAGAAAGTTCGCACTGTAATGCTGATTGGCTAGACATACCTGTCAATCACTCAAAGGGGAATATTAGGTGAATCTTGGTACCATTATTTACAACTTTACAGACAATGCTTTTGCTATACTATTAGCAGCATATGGCCATGTAAATAGTACATGACGTTGAAAACATGACCAGGTAGTTTTAGCTGTCAAAAAATCGTTATTTAAAGGTCACACATTTATACGTGCCTATATGCATGTATTATCAACATATCTATAGAAATGTGTCAACGCACGTATGACAAACAAAACGTATATTGGGATACCCTTTACTTCATAATATATTTAATAGAAAATATGACATATATAAATATTACAGTATACAATCTATTATCCGAACTTCTGAAAACCAAAAAGCTCCGAAAACCGAGTTTTTTCGTGGCGGTTTGTCTGCACACCAAAGCTCGAGTTTGGCTGCACAAGGTTCACTGCAGAAATATTAATGTGTTTGGCATTACTCATACACACTGCCGCCGCACGCCACTTGCCCTCTTGAAAACTTGGGTTTTAGTACTGGCTAGACGTTATGCGGCCATGATGCCGAGGCGCGCCGAGGATTGACACTTTGTGTCTTCCAATCACAGCCTACGCCGCACCAGTTTTATATTTTTAAATATGGGGACCTATTGGACCACCAAATCGCCGATATCGATTTAGAACAAAGTCTTCATTGTTATCTTCTAAAACTACAGACCATCCGCTGACCGCTGTGGAGACGTGCGCAGGGCCTCGAATTTGGCGCACGTCTCCAGTGCGGACAGCGCTTCATACTTGAACATCCCCGCGGTCGCGTGCGCATATCCCGCGCGCAGCGCTCAGGATCAACAATATATGTGGGTATAGACGATTTGTTATACAGTAAGTACAGTTGTATGCAGTAAAATCCTAGAGGCTACTGTCCCTTTAAACAATAACTGTTCAAATCGTGGAACCTTGCATGCAATTTAATAGCAACAAATTCTGTTACCGAATCCTTTGGACTCAACGATGTAAACATATTTGAGCTTTTTACGCAAACCTGTAAAATTAAAATAAGTATACATGATTGATAACACGGGCAGTGACTACTTTTTTCCTGGTGTTTCAAAAATGACTTTGGTACCCCAGTGGCGCTGACCATTCTAATAACCGGTTCACCCTCCCTCAAAAAGAAGACGAAGAAATATCTGCCACCAACTAGGTCACATGCAAATACAATACCGATATTAGGCCTAATCAGGATTCTCCAAGAGCACTTATAGCCTGGCAGCCGTCGAGCCACGCCATCCTAAAATGCACCCGCCACTCTAAATATCATAGCCGCCATGCTAAAATTTGCTAAAAAATGCTAAAACTAGGACCGTAAAGGCAGCCCCGCCATGCTATAATGAAAAAGCTTGGAGAACCCTGCTAATATGGGGCCTGGATGTCAGCAGAAAACACATTGTTTACCATTAGAGTCAGATTGTGATCGTTTTTGTTTTCAGAAATACTCGATCTTATTTTGTAAATGGTGCTTGCTTTGAGGGCAGAAGAAGTGATCGAATACGCACATGCTTTGTAGTTGTGCGATTTCAAATGTAACATGTTTTCATCAACATGTTAGTCCACTACTACTCTGCTATTGTCTAACACTAGCCCTAAGCTTGGACCACGTTAAGTAAGAGAAGGGTACATCAGGAACCTGTTTTTTGTGTGAAAATGAGGTGTCACAGAGGAAGTCCAAATTGACCAATTTGTCTCGCATTTTTTCTCCCTCAATATAGTTTCACCCATCAAGGTTACCGGAATCACATGCCATACAGATGGAACCAAATATCTCAGACCGCTTCATTGAATTTGGCTTAGCCGTGACTGATCTCATGAAAGTTGACATCATCCATTTAAAACCTTTACTATGTATCAATTATATGCATTTATATACACCCATAATCACCACCAATACCACCATAACAAATAAAGTTACTTCTATGCCACAGTAATACAGTATGTCTCTCTTTGACCAAAGAGTGAAAAAACTGTTCTTGGTTTTTGCTATATAGTTGCTATACATACAATAAATGATTTCTGTTTGCTATGAAACCAAGTGGAAACTGCCCTAAGTACGTTGATCCATAAGTATGCAAAAGCTCAGAATCACATTCCTCTATTATATAAGTAGACTGATCTCAAAAAAGCAAGACTTGAGTACAATATAACATGCATATCTCATCAATTACATTCATATATCAACATGCTTTCTGCATGGTTAAACGCAGATCATGCTTTAATTTGTACGTGCACTAGTGCACACTACACAACAGTTTGTAACCAGCTTCTAGCTTGCTTAATATGCACAGCTTTCTAACTTAGGGCAATCAGACACTTGTACACCGTGTTTTGATGTTGAAATTGTAATTTAGTGTTCACAGAAAATGTAGCTTCATCCTTCGTCACTACAAGATAGTAACTATTTCTTGGTAGTGCTCAGAAACCAAACTGTTAACCTTTATAAGGGTTACAACTGGCTACTCTCCACATGTCAGTAGAAAGAGCATTATGCAATTAAAAGTAAAACAAGTTCCTAAAAGCATTCTTTGAACCACTCCCTGTACCAAGAGAAAATGGTAACTTGAACACTGCCTTTTCGAACACTGAGGCCATTCTTAAAAATCATATGTTTGCTGTCCTCCGACCGACCCACGAAAATAGCCGCGACCCAAGTTTTTTTTTGACATTTTGAGTTCCATATTTTATTTTTTTTTTTTTACATTTTTCATAGTTAAAGGAACAGTAGCCTCTAGGTTCTAGGGTTATTTTCAGCTAATTTAGGTTATAATTGCGCTACATAAAAAGTTTCATGGTTCAATCACCATTAGAAATAATTTTTTTTAATGTTTTAAAACTA